GAGAGAGAGAGAGAGCGTACCTGAACATGCCTTAGGCATCCTTGATAATCTCTCAGCATGAAGCTTCCCCAATAAAGAATTCGTATCAGGAAGGGGTTCAGAAGGGTCCTCCTGTCCTCTCGATGATGGAACGGCTGAAACCTCAACAAGGAGCTCAGAATGAGGCTCAACAACTTCAACAGGGGCCTTCCGCTTCCTCGACGACAAAAAATCATCAGAGAAAGAATCATCATCTAGTTGGCCAGAATCAGAGCGATAGGTTTTGGGGGATGGAGGGGCGCATGGAGTGTCACATATTTGGCAAGTGGTGGATTGGTCAGAGGTGTTGAGGAAAGTGCAGGCTTTACATGCCCAACCTTCTCCTCCACGAGAAGAAGAAGAAGAAGAAGAAGGGAGAGAGTGTGGATTAAGGCACATTTGGCAGGAAAAGCCATGGTTTGGAGGGTTTAGAAAGGTACATTTAGTGCAGGCCCAGGATGCCATATTAAGCGGGGGATGGGCCGCGGGGGAGAGAGAGAGAGAGAGAGGGAGATTTCAAGGAGGGAAGGGGAGAGACTACCCTGGATATTTGAAAGGAGGAAACACGACAGAAACGCATGGGGGTTTTAACAGGGAAAAGTTTATACAGAGCATAGGCTCTAAACAATCAAATTAGAGCCTACCTCAAAACTTTCACTAGAAGAGGAGTGCCCAAATATCGTAAAGCCGAGCATCTCAACATCAAGATGCACGGGCATCGGAAAAAACTGGATTTCAAGTTTTGAAAATAGTTCATTTTGAAATGTATTTTTGGACTATCGATTTTCAAGTTTAAATAGATTTGTTTAATTTATATTATTAACCTTTAAATTCTATTGCTACATATGAAAATATAATTTAAAGTTATCACATAACTTTCCGGTATTAAAATCATATTTCTCGACACTATTTAAAGGTGGGCTCTAATTTGATTGTTTGGAGCCTTGGCTCTATACAAATCACTCCCTTTTTTAAAAAAAAATGTTTCATAGGAGTGGGATGACTACATAAGCGGTCCAAAAAAATGTAAAACATTCATCTTAATGATGGATGCAAGTAGGTATTCCATCTAGAAACAATGGAAACTAACAGTCCAAATATTTTCTTGCTAGAATTATTATTTCTAATTTTTAAAATTTACTTTTTTTTTCATATTCATGATCTTCATGTTAGAGATTATAAGTCCTTAAAAATTAAGTCCAAAAATTCATATCAAAAATAGATATATTAATAAGCCCACATTTCTACACGTGTGGGCTTGGCCGCATAGAAACCGAGTCCATACTTTAAAGGGAAAATTACTAGAGAAAATTACCAAAACCCCCAAAATGAGACTTTCTAGATAACTTACCCCCAACAAAGCTTTTTTGAATAACTTTTACCCTAAATTGAACTTTTTTAGCAAATACCCCAAAGTGAAAAAAGTCATATTTTTTTGACGAAAATGCCCATAGTGCCGAAGCGGCCTCATTTTTGTACCGGATCACATGCCCAAAGTACCGGACCGCCCTTATTTTGTGTTGGACCACATGCTTTCTAGAAGCCCAAAGTTTCAAACCGCCCTCATTTTGTGCTGGACTGCATGCCCAAAGTGTCGGACTGCCCCCATTTTGTGCCAGACTGCATGCCCAAAGTGTCGGACCGCCCCTATTTTGTGCCGAACCGTATGCTTTCTAAAAGAAAAGTGCCGGACCGCCCCCATTTTGTGCTAGACCGCATACTTTTCAGAGGTTGTTTTGGTCTTCATTTTACTTTTTTTATGACTTGGAGAGTATTAGCTAAGAAACTTAAATTTTGGGTAAAAAGTAAGATAAAAAGTTTGGTTGGGGGTTAAGTTGCATAGGAAGTCTATATTTTTTTTTCTCACTTTTTATCCCAAAATATACTTTCCTAGCAAATACCCTCTAATAAAAAAAAAAGAGACTAAACTACCCTCGCTTACTTGTATCCACACCACTCTCTCCTCTTTTCCCACCAAACCTATTTTTTTACTTAAGGGGCCCAAAGAGAACCACTCACGTTGTGTCCCTCTCTCTCGCAACCCGAGCTCCCTCCCTCTGTCTTGATCTCTCTCCCAGCCTGAGCTCTCTCCCTCTCTCTCGCTCTCGCACTCTCTCTCTCTCGACCCAAGCCTACTCATTCTCTCTCTTCAAAGGACTAAAGGCTCGAGAACCCACCCTCTCTCCCTCGATCTGTCTCCCTGAATCCATGGCCCGAGCTCTCTCCCACTCTGTCTACGAATGACCCACGACCCGATCTCTCACTCTCTTTATGAATCAGCTCGGGCTCTCAATTTCTCCACTTAGTCCGAGCTTGATTTTTAGCTCGATCTCTTAGCACCATTAAAGGTAGAAAAGACTTTTTTACTTATTTCTTACAAAAAAATAAACATATAACAAATTTATTGAAGAAAATTGCTAAAATCTGTTGTGGGGTTATTGTTTGTCGAAATTCGTTGTATTTGATCTGTCATTGGCAATGAAGAGATGATGCTCATGTCATAAGATTTATTGAAGTTTTTCTTATTAATTTGTTATGGAGTTTGTCATTCTTTCTCTATTGTCATTTTAGGGCTATTGTCCTTGGTGGTAGGAAATTTTGGGTTTTTTTGCTGTATCTATTTTATGTTGGTTTTATTTGCATCAATTGTATCTTATTTGTGAATCTCTAGGAAGATTGAAAATTATTCAGTCGTTTGATCTCAATTGATTGCTCATGGCTTAAGAATTATTAAAGTTTTTCTTATTAATTTTTTATGGAGGTCGTTATTTTTTCTCTATTGTCATTTTAGGGCTTGAATGATCTTGGTGGTAGTAAATTTTGGATTTGTTTTGCTGTATGTATTTTCTCTATTGTTATTTTGTTTTGTTGTATCTGTTGTCATTTTAGGGCTTGAATGCTCATGGTTTTCTTTGCATCAATTGTTTCTTATTTAATGATCCATCCTCTTTCTCTTGTTAAAATTTAGTTTGTCATTAAAAAGTAAATATGATTAGCTCTTGTTAAGTTTAGAAGTAGCTCTTTTAAAATAAAAAAAACCCAAAAAATAGACTTTAGGATGGTCTATATTGCTAGTTGTATATATTATATTTATCTATATTGTTAGCCTGAACTATAGCTTAGAAAAATGGTATTGTTGATCTATAACGTAGAGAAATAGTATTGTTTATCAATATATTTTTTTGGTTTGGAATATCTTAATGAACATGGCACCAGCAAAACTACCCAGAGTATTCTACATTTTTTGTCATTTTTAATGACGATGGTATTTCATTTCTCTCCTTAAACTGCAACACTATTGCAAATTATTTGTGATTATTTCACTCCTTAGGAACAATGAAAAGAGCCTCAAACCCATTTTTATTTCATTCTTTCAATGAAACCCACTCATTTCTCCTTTTTATTAGCTAACATGTAACACCACCCAAAAGCAAAAAGAAAGAGGGTGAGAGAGAGAGAAAGAGAGAGAGAAGGGTCCTACAATTTATGAGGGCAATCAGGCAGAAAAAAGTTACTGGAAATTGATGCGGTCTAGCATATTTTAAGGGCGGTCCGGCAAAAAATGTCACTGAAATTGAAAGGGGTCTAGCACATTCTAAGGGGGCAGTCCGGCAATACATGTTACTGGAATTAAAGGGGTCCGGCACATTCTAAGGGCAGTCTGGCAATACATGTTACTAAATTAAAGGGGTCTGACACATTTTAAGGGCAGTCCAACAGTACATGTTCTGGAATTAAAGGGATCCGACACATTCTAAGGGTGGTCCGGTAGTATGCAACTTCCGTCCAATAGTTTTATTTGTCAGTCTAGCAATACATGCACTGGAAATGTATGGCCGGCATATTACAGGGCAATGTGGTACATTAGAAACGTGGTCTAACATGTTCTAAGGGCTGTCCATCAATTTGAAATTTAGGTTTGGCAAATCATAGTGGTGGTCTAGTAGTACAAATTACTGGAACAAAAAGGGGTCCTGCGATCAGAGAGGCTCTTCGGCATTTCACAAATGCGGTCCAGCGATAGGCAACTATGGTCCGGTACATGTTTTCTTGGAACAAGGGGTCCAATTGTTGATAAGTGCGGTCTGACACTAATTTTTTTGAAATAAGGGGTCTGGCAATTCAAAGTTTGGTCCGGTAGAAATGACAGGGGTCCGAAAATTCACTTTTTTGGTTCGGCAACATGCTACAAGGGTTTGTCAAACAACATCAAATCCGGCCAAAATGATTTCTTGTGTACGGGATGGGCATTTTCATCTAAAAAAATTGACTTTTTAACTTGGGGGGTATTTGCTAAGAAAGTATATTTTGGGATAAAAAATGAGAAAAAAAGTTTGGTTGGGAGTAAGTTGCATAGGAAGTCTATATTTGGGAGTTATTTGTAATTTTCCGTACTTCAAACATAAATGTGTCACATTCACTCTTGTCTATCATATTTCAAATAGGGGATTGTGAGTGCCTCATTAATTAGAATCAAAATTCAAAAACAATTGTCAAACTTTATGAAACACCCCAAGTCATCGCTAAAACCAATATTAAAAAAAAATTGATCGGTGACTCGAATCGGTCTCACCCATACCCGTGTCAGATCGGTGGATCGGATCAGAGAATCAACCGAATCGGCAATTTTTTTCCCAAAAAATCACTATAAATATTTAAAAATAGTGTTCTTTTATTGTCTAAAAGAAATTAGGAGTTGTGCATTATGTAATTTCATTACTTTGCAAAATAAGTAAATACTGAGACATTTTTATATTTGGATGTACATTTTATTTGTGTATCAAGAACGTAAATTTTATTGCATTAAAAAAAATTGACGATAAAATTTAAAAATACAAGTTTTTTTCCATGATAATTATAAATTCATGATATAAAATTGAATATAATACTGCTATTTTCCTAATAATACTAGGCTCATAAAAAAAACTACTATTTTCCTAATGGTAATTTTAATTCAATGATTGTAGTCTCACATTTTAATTTTCCTAATGCCAAAATTGCTAATCAGATTTTAATTTTCCCAATGTCAAAACGCTCATCATATTTTAATTTTCCTAATATCAAAACACACATTTTAATTCTTGCCATTTTCTTAGCATTCATTTAATTCTCACTATCTTAGCATAGCACATGAATGAGCCATATAAGTAACCCAAATACAAGGAAGGTCCCACCAAATTATTATCTTATATTTGAGGCCAATCAAACCTCTTTTGCAATAGGTTCTTAAAAACATTTACGACACGAAATGACTTAATTTAGTGCACAAAATGTTATCAAACCAAAAAAAAAACAAGTATTAAACCTTTTAAAGTGTCAATTTACATCGCAACATGTAAAGTCAACCAAACTAATCCCACATTGTAAAGTGAAAGGAGACAAAGTTTCTTTTAAAGTGTTTAAGGCTCCGTTTACGACAACTTTGCACCTGTGTGTGGGAGGTTGGGCCTATAGTGGGTTGGGCCCTACTCCACATGATGGTAGCCTTTTCGCATATTTTTAAAATTGGCGCCCACTTTTTTTAAAAAAGTTGATGGTATCATCACCGGTTCAATGACGTTGTAACCAGTTATGTTAAAGAACCGACCGAATCCCCTTTTTTCAGCAGATCCGAGACGGTTTTGTCGA